ATAAAAATAAAAAACTTTATTAAAAACTTCAAAACAAACATGATTAAGATGAAATAATAAACTATAAATCGGAGAATAACCCTCCAGTGTGATGCCTCAACCTCTCAATTACCACCAAAAGTACCCTAAGGACACATTTTGACTTGTATGGTGAAGCCCAAGATGTAATTGATAATCCTTTTTCTTATTTATCGACAAAATGATAAGTTTCTGTAATAAAAAGAATTATATCTGTGCAGGTTGTGTTTTCATCAAACCTAGAGGAGTTGCAATTGTGCTCGATTGGGAATATTGCCACCATATGGCACACTTCGATGATATCTTGTTTTGAGAAACTGAAGAAATTAATTATTCATGACTGTAGAAATCTGGAATACCTACTCTCATCTTCGGTTGCATCGGATTCAGAAGGGATGATCCAACTCCTCCTTCCAAAACTAAAGAGGTTAGAATTGGGAGATTTGCCCCAGTTGAAGAGCATCTGTAGGGAGAGGGCAGCAATGGTATGTGATTCTCTTGAATGGATTATAATTTGGAATTGCTATAGCCTAAGAAGGTTCCCTCTTAATCTTCCTCTGTCTGAAAATGGACAACCATCTCCTCCTCCTTCCCTCAAACAAATCGTAGTATGGCCACATGAATGCTGGAAATCTTTAGAGTGGGACCATCCTAATGCAGAGCGTGTCCTTCTACAATTCTGTGGAAGATATCATTCGTTTCCTTCCAAATTAGTAGAAGGGTGTATTAAAAGGTTAGAGTTGACCGATATTGATGTAGAGAATACTTGGCTGCCACCATCCGTACAAGAATTAGTTCTTGCTCGATGCAACAACTTAAGAAGCTTAAATGATATCTCCGCCACTAAAGATGCAAAAGAATTGAAATGCTACAGGATTCGGAATTGCAATGGCGTGGAGTGTGTTCTCTCCTCCTCCATAAATCTACTGGCCCAAAAGCTTGAGGTTCTGGATCTTTTTGATTTGCAAAACTTGGATGCTTTGTTTGAAGCAGAAGCAATTACCAAGTCACCACTGCCACCAGACACTTTTTCATCTCTTAAAACAATAAATATTTGGTGCTGTCATAAAATAAAGGAGCTGTTCCCCTTTTGGATGAATCTCCAAAGTCTAGAAGAAATTCGCATTGGAGATTGCCATCAGATGGAAGAAATAATAGTATGGGATGCAGAAGAAGCAGGAGGAGAAAAAGAAAGGGTCATCGAACTCATTCTTCCAAAATTAAAGAGTTTGTCTCTGAAATACTTGCCGAAATTGAAGAGCATCTGCAGCAGGAGGGCAGTAATGGTATGTGATTCTCTTGAAGAGATTCAGATCTGGAATTGCCAGGGCTTAAGGAGGATACCTCTTTATCTTCCCCTGCTTGATAACGGACAACCATCTCCTCCTCCTTCCCTCAAACAAATCGAAGTATGGCCACAAGAACGGGGAAAATCGTGGTGGGAATCGTTGGTGTGGGACCATCCCAATGCAAAGGATGTCCTTCTATCCTTCCGTACATTCACTCCGTTGTGACACTAATTGTCTTTAATCAACGAAGAAGATGAAGAAGAAATCACCTATTGTCAGTCTGCAACAGTCATCTTCACCATGGCTCCCCTAATCGTTGTGGAAAAGGTTCATCTTCTCTCTGGTCTAGTATTATTTCTAGACTAGAAATTGTTAATTCATGAACTGCAAAATGAGATAGAAAGGAACATGGACGAAATAAGGATTAATTAACTGACTTCTTTTTGTTGAATCAGGAAGCTGAGATACCCGCCTCTATCTCTTCAGGGGCGTCAATGAATTTGGATACTTCTCAAAAGAGTGGCTCCGCAATTCTCAATTTGTAGTGCATTGTGAGTTGTATCATTTTCTGTAACTGGTAAGAGTCCCCGCTGCCAATCTTTTGTTTTGGGTTTTCAATCGTTAATGTTTTGAATCAGTCCAATTGATAATTGCACAACTTCCTCAAGCTTTTGCTATTAAAGATGCCATGGATCTGAATTGCAAAAACATCAAAATTATTTTTTTATCTTTTAGCTGAATCTTGGAATCCCGGTTGCTGTTAAAATTGGTCTATTTAGTTAGGTCTTTTTGGGCCTGGAATTTTTCTGAAATCAATTGTATTGGCATTTTGTGTGTTGGATTTGGTATTAGGATGCAATTCCAATGGAAGTTTGGGTTTCTTGTAAATGTCAGATTAGTAATACTATGTATAGGACTTTTGGGGTGAAATGCAGTTGATTAATCAAATAACTTGTATCGTTGTTAGTGAAACTAAAATGAAAAAGAAAGGGGGAAAAACTAAAAACACAGTATCATATATGGCATAAAAAGTAACTTAGCAATGCTTAGGCTGGATGGTGTTTTGTCTGCCTAATCATGACAATCTCTGGTATAAGTTCTGGTATGGTGGGGATAGGAGATGATAAATTTCCCCCTTTAGGTGTTTGTGGTTGCAGAACACCATTGTCTTTTTTGTTAATTCTTCCTATTTGTAATTTTTTTTTTTTTCTTTTTGCAATGCAGTTTGGCATCCATGATGCAGTTGTATCAAAACCAAACATGGCTGATTCAGGAGCTCTTGGACGAGGTGTAGTTTACTGGCTAAAGGTAATTGTGGGTATTGAAAGATATTTGGGTTACTCAGTTCATTTTGATTTTTTCTAGTTATTTGTGATTCCCCTGAACTCTTCTGCTGCTGATTTCATGTGCATGGTGAACAGGATTCCTTAATCACTGTTGCTTTTGATAACATCCCAAGAGAAGATTTAAACAGTCCCTTCCCCCTAGAAAATGTTTTGCTATTAAAATTCTTCAACAGCTTCTCTGCTTCTCATAGTGGCTTTAATTGTTATACACAAATCTTCACAAGCCTGAATGTATTGGAACTAGTATAGAATTCTCAGTACCATTCTTCCTTCCTTGATATTGGTTTTGTAATCAATTTCATTACTATGTTTTACACTTTTACTGATTTAAGCTTATAAGAATTAAAAAAATCCAAATTAATTTGTTGATGCAGGTGACATCTTGTAAGATGAAGTATGCCTTGATACAATTGAGCAAAGTGTGCTAAAGGGACCTGCTGCCAATATAGTTCCTGTCTTGCTTGGAGAGAGACTGCCAACATTGTGAAAGAAGGATGTAATGTTCTCCCCTTTTAACTCCCACCTTGATCTCTCTCAGGTGTGCAATTGTTTACTTCCTGAGTTCTTTTTCTTTTTAGATGACAAATGGTTTACCTTTTTCTTTCCTCTTTTTTTTCCTTTTTATTTTATTTTATTTTTTAGTTGGAGTGGGGGGTTGAACGTGTTTGTGTTAAGTTACAATTCATAAGAACTAAATGTATTGGTTGCTACTCACTTTCTCTTACATGATTTGCATTCTTAAATTCAGTTTTCAGTTGAGAACTGAAAATTGAAACTGACCGAACCCAATAGAATAGAATTGACTGTAGTGCAATGCAGTTCAACAACCTAGCTTATATAATCATATTAATTGTGCAAGCCTCACTTGTGATTGTTATTTTTGTTTTAGGTTTCAAGATGTATATCTTTTGGAGGCTAGTTCTTGTACAAGAGAGTGAACTGTGTAGATAATTTTGTTTTACAAAGCCAAAGTGATACTGCTTTATTTTTAAAAAATAGGGAAGAATTTTTGGTGTGAAAATGTAAGGTTCAGTTGACATTCTACTTCACAAGAAGCATCTCAAATTTCAGAAAGGTAAATATTGAGTTGATTGATTTACTTAAGGTCAAGGCAGACCCATAAATTCTGGGAAATTTTGCTATATACAATCATTGTATATTTGTAATAAAAGGATCATGTTTCATTTGCTTCAGTGGAATATATAAGAAAACAAGCGTGAAGATGATAGCACATTGAATGAAGGTGGAGCTGAGATTTCTATTTTAGGTACAAACTAAAAGAGATTTGCTCAGAGTGGAGTCTAAGGTTCAGATTTTGGAATGATTACCCCATATGCTGCACAGGTGCTATGGAGTGTACCGTGTTGTCACTTGTGTCATTACTTTACGCTTCCATCCTTTTGACAAACTGACCAATACATGGATTGTATGCTCTTATAAATTTCAACTATGTTTCAGGTTGACTTAGAAAAGATGTTGAGAAGCAATGAGGATATAAACTGGGAAATTGATGTTTTGAGACCATGTTGCACCCACTCTCCTAGTGTTGGTGCCATGGCTTGTGATGGACTTTGGAAGGTGTCGATACCTAAGTAGTCGAAACCTAATGACCAAATGGAGGAAGAAAGAGTTGGTACTGTAGCAAAATATTGGCACCTATTTCTTAAGGCTCAAGGATCATGTCTAGACCTCAGCTAAAGAGGGGCACTTGTGGTTTGTACATGGTGTCAACACTCAGGACCCAAGTGTTGAGACCTTTAGTTGCTGACAGCCTTTTTATGTATGTTATACTTGTACCCCATATATTATATGTTGATCATCTTTATACGGGATGATTTTGATCTGGACTATGTCCCGAGGTTTCTTCTGATTTGGGTTTTCCAAGTAAAAATTTTGGTGTTGATTCTTTTTACTTTTCCGCAATTACTTTTAGGAATTTGATTACTAGTGGTTAATAACAATGTCTTACTCTGTCTCCTTAATAAGTTTACAGAAATGGACAAAAATGCCATCTTGATACGGCAATGCAACCTGCACTACTGCTAAACATCATAGTACCTAACTTAACTGAAGATCAAGAGATCTATTTATTACTAATTTTAGTAGGTCCAAATGGATGTAGGCCACATTAGCTCCTCTAGAATATCATGAACATGGAAGCTGGCATTGACTCCTTGATGATCTGCTCCAATTCCATTCATCTCTATCAGAGCATCCCAGTTGAAGCTCTTCTCTCCGAAGGCTACAAGTTCTTCGAAATTGCTTACATTAGAATCCATCACTGACTATGATAATTTCTCTGTAGGAATTCCACCTATTCCTTCTGTTTGTGACTGCTTTTCGTCACTCACTATTCGAAGCTGCTGAAGGAACTCATTTATATCAATCTGTGGTTTCTCTCGCTGCAGCATTTCCTCTGACAAAATATCTACATCTTTCTCCTTGGTTGTCAGATTTTCTATCTGCCTCTGGCTCTTCTTGCTTTTGACCTGAGTATCAGTTTTTGATTCACATGAAGATAAACTAGAAGAAGAAGAAGAAGATTGGTTCAGAGCTCCATTGTTCTTCTTGAGTTCTTCAAGCCTCTGATGGATAACATGAACACTAGGTTGGGCATTGATATTGAGCAGACCACAAGAAGGAAACATGGAGATGAAATCCTTTGAAGGAATCCATTTGAATCTGTTCGTAGGATGAGAATATGAGTTGGGTTGAAGGTGAGGGAGATTGAGGTAAGCATCAGGTCCATAGAGTCTCCTTGCAGCCTCATCATAAGCCAAGGCAGATTCCTCTACAGTAGCAAAAGAACCAAGCCAGAGTCTGGTTCATTTCCTGGTCTCCCTGATTTCTGCCACCCATTTGCCCCAAGTCCTTTGCCGGACTCCCCGGTATTGGCAGGAGGCATTCAGAGGACCGCCTTTGCCTCTGGTTGGACCTTTCTTCCAAGGCTTTATAGAAGATTTTCTGAAGGTTTCCATGGGGAAGAAGTGAATGTGAGAACTGAGGAGAGTGCAAGTGCAGTGAAAAGAGCAGCATGGCGCGGGATTATGTAGGAAGTGAGAGTGCAGATTTGGTTTAAATGCTTTCACGTTTCAGAAAAATTAAGCTTTGAAACCCCATGTGACCGTTAGTGAGTATTGTTCAGATGATTTCAAATCCATGTATGTTTGGAAACCTTGCAAATTATGGGCATACGGATGCACTAATCTATGCATGATCTTTAACATTTTGCTTCTCCTTTTTTTTTTAATGATTCTCTAAAATAAAAAAAGGTTTACATCCAAAAGACCAAACGATATTCTGACTTTTGGCATTACATCTGCTTAATCACAAGCAGATCATTTGTATTAGGACTGAAAATTTTGTCAAAAACCACCTCGTGATCATAATTTCTCTTAAAAATCAAATTTTGGTCAACAAGATGATAACAAACTCCCTTACTAATCAGGACAGCTCTATTTGGATTTGCTTGTTAGTAATTGAACAAATAAAAGTGTTTAAATTATAAACAACAACTGTTAGTGGTTAAATATTTATTATCAGCTATTTAAACAATTTATCCTAAGAGAGCGTAAGAGGGATTCTATTGGGTACTTTCTAGTTACCCTCAACCATCATTCCATATTCCTAGTTCAGTTTCATGCCCTTTAGCTTGGTGCGGCAATCCTGTGAACAGTAAGAATACTGGTAAAAGAAACCTCTGTTATTGACCTAGGCAAGAAGAAGATGAAAGAAACAGAGTATTGGGGTGCATTTAAAGGTGTTGTGGTGGTGACTAGAATTTGTGGATATTGTGTGTTCTGAGTAGTGTCTTCCTCGGATTCCCATGGCAGGAGTGCTTCTGCATGGATCTACAAAGAGTTGAATTTCACCTCAAAACATTTTTCACTTTCACGGCCCCTATTTCACATATTTTCCAGCCATCCATGACCTGATACCCGGGACTCTTCTTACCTTTTTCCATGCCCATCTCTCTCTCTAGGTAAATTATAACATTTCTCAGAATGGGAGCTGCCTAGGATCTCAAAATCATACCACATGCTGAATTTAGAGTTCTCATGCTCATATATGTCATGATGATAATGCCATGTTTTATGCACGTCATAAATTTACCCGCTGTCCAGGTGATAGGATTCGAGCACTTGTATAAATGAACATTTGATGCCTGTCAACTTAAAAAAGTAACAATAATTGCAAGATCTGAGATCAATCCCATTTTCATGGTTCAATTTTGGCTTTTCTTTTTATTATGTGGGTAATATTTCATCAACCATCAAGTCAGCATATAAACAAAGAAAATGATTTGTACACAATGTTTTCTTATCATAGTCTTACAACTGTATGCGACAGTAATTAGAATTGACTCTTTTTACTCGAAGAAAAGAGGCGTGCGTGAATACAAGATGGCATGTGTCTATTGTAAGAAAACAATGTGTGCCAACAACCCTATAATCCGTATACACGAGAAACCAGTGACCAAAAACTGAAAGCATAACCGGAAATGAGTACTTTGATGAACAGGGAAAGCTCATGGCTGATTATATATTTTTCTTACTGAAGATTGCTGATTATATTTACAATTTTTTTTTTTTGTTATATCAAAAACGTTGGCTTTCACCTGTGTTACCAAAAAAAAAAAAAAGGCCTCTGTTTCCTGCTCAGGACGAGATTTGATTCCTGGTACTTTGATGCAATCATCAAAAGGACCAACTTAACTAATTGACATCTTCAACCTCCCAGCTATTTGGACAATGCCCCCACCTGCAAAATATACCACGTCTCCCCTCAGAAAATGAGCTTCAAGAGACAGACGAAAACAAGAAAATGGAACTGGATCAGCAAACTAACCAGTATGAGAACATTTCATTTGGGCTTCGGGCTTCCCTTACACGTATTTCTCCATTCATCTTTCAGGTCCACTGAAGTTCGGCAGTTAAGAAACACTGAAGAACCAAGGTCCAGAATTTCCTTCCATGGAATGTTACCACCAGCTTTACTTGAGAACTTGCTTAATCCCTCCTGCAACAGTAATAACAACTATTTGTTCCCAGAAGGATTATGAGAAAAATGAAATTACAACGAGAAGGAAACAAGCTTTAGTTGCATGCAAAATCATGGGTCTAATTTTTTTTTTTTTTTCTGGCCCTCAGGTCTAAAAACCACAAATTGGAAAAAATCTAAAGTCCAATCTGGAAGCAGCTGGAATCTTAAATTTTCATTTGTTACTCAAGATACAAAGAAAAGAGAAGACACTCTGAAAACAATCTTCTGAGAAAAAAAAAAAGTGCAATTAAATTGCAACAGTTCAATATTTGATTTCTAGAACTACAAGCTAGGAATCAATTTATGCAAGAAAGAAAATACCCTAAGCATCTGTTCTTCCTCAATTGTCTATGGAACCTTCTTTCTCCTCAACTGTGGAACTGCTAGGTATGTGCTGCAGAAAATGAGCATTTTAACACTTAAGATTTCATTTTGAATTAAATCAATTGTATATATTTTGCAAAACAGAAAAACACTGCTTGTTCCAGTGAGGAAGAAAATCATTGGAGAATCATATTAAGGATGCCAAGTGGACGAAAGTAGCCTAATAAAACACACAAGGAAACAGCAGAAATGTTGTGATAATCTAATGGAAAGTTAGTCATGTATGGAAAACTTACCCCTTCCTTTGTGGCCTTCTGAATCTCATGGAATAGTTCAATTTAATAACCTCATCATTTTCAGTATCAAAAGTATCCTCTCCATCAAAATTAAGAACAATGGGTTGTTGGTCAGGATTAGTTCTATGTTGTTGTAAAACTTCTTTCGGAATTTCCAGAATTCCTGCTTCAGCTTGCCTCTGATTTAAATGGGCAGTTTCAGTGTTTTGACTGGATGGATTGTCACTGTTGTAATCAGGGCCATCTAAAAAAGGCTGGGCCCCTTGTCTTTCAAGCTTTCTCTCAGATAGGCTCTCCTTTACCACCTCTTCTTTGCTTTCCTTTCCCAAAGTTGAGATGCATAATGTCCTTTTGTGAACATTTGTCTCATCTTCAAGACATGGTGTGTTAACATCTCTACATGAAATAGAAGTCGAACTAATAAACTCATCACTTTCAGTATCAGGGGTATCCTCTCCATCAAAATCAAGAACAACGGATTGTTGATCAGGACTAGTTATATGTTGTCGTAGAACTTCTTTCTGAATTCTTTCTTTATGTTCTCTGTGATTTACTACATGGGTAGTTTCAGTGTTTTCCCTGGATGCATTGTCAATGTTGTAGTCAGGGCTGTCTGATAGTTGGGCCCCTTGCTTTTCAGGCTCTTTCTCAGATAGGTTCTCCTTTACCACCTTTTCTTTGCCTTCCTTTCCAACAGTAGTGATGCATACTGTCCCACTGCAAACATTTGACTTGTTTTCCATACATGGTTTGCTGACATCTATACAAGATATAGAAGGCCCTGATTGTTGTTCATAGGCTAGATTTCTTTGAAACTGGCAATCAAAAACTCTATTTTGACTTCTTGTATTTTGTTCTCTCTCTTTCAAATGCCCATTCTCCTGCATTATGATGTAATTTGCCTCATCCTTCATACTTTGTGTACTGATATCTCCACACAATGTAGAGGAACCTGGTTGTTGTTTATCAGCTACACAACTTTGACACTGATGACTTAGATCTTGTCTGTTTTGACTTCTTGTATTTGGTTCTTTTTCCTTCAAATTCCCACTCTCCTGAATTCTGAGTAAATTTGCCTCATCTCCTACACATGGTGTGTTAACATCTCTGAATGATATTTAGGGCCCTGCTTGTTGTTTATCAATTAGACCGCTTTGAAACTGACAATTATCATCTTCTCTGTCTTGATTTGTTGGATTTTCCTCTTTCCTATGTCCCTCAGTATGTTTAATTGAACAATGCTCAAATACATGAATAAGTGCAGACGGTTTCTTCCTTGCCAAACGGTCTTTTCTTCTTAGCTTCAAGATACTCTGAAATAGAAAGAGAATACACACAAAAAGGGCAATGAAAGTTGCCCTTATCATCAAACCTGGCCTGAGAACCCAAGTAACTCTCATGAACCACCAGAGGGCAACCGCTGGTACTGCAAAGTAACATCTGACCATCTTTGCTCCAGCCAGTTGTACCCAGTGTATCTTGACTGGATGTGCACTGAGAACTCAAGAAATGACTCTTCTTCATGGCCATATCAATTCCCTCTTCACGAAATTTGTCATAATTACTCAACATTTCATCTTCACAAGTATGATAAAATCAGCCCTGGCTCCATAAGGATTACAACTAATTTGTGCTATTCCAGCAGTGAAGACAATATGAGGCGGTCTCAGTTTAGAATTAGAACTCTGACCACCTTTGCCATAGGCTTCTTCAACAGAAATTTTGTTTCTGAGTTTTCATCAAGGGGGCACCAGAGAGTAGTTCACTATTGTGGGTTTCATCCACTGTGACAAATTCAACAGATCCATCTCCTATTTCACAAATGTTGCTGGTATCAAGACTATTCTCTATATGATCATCATTACAATGCTCACCCACTTGAGATTCTTTACACAAGGCAGAGCAATCTACTTCAGCAACTCTAAACCTTCCACAAGCATCTTCCAACAAAAGGGGATTTGAAATCTGGCTGACAGAAGGATTAGTATAAGCACTGCCCTGGCAGCCCTGCTTCAGCTTCTTTGCATTTAAGTGAAGACCATCATGACCAAACAAACTCTCTTTGTTACCATTGTTTACATCTGCCAGGTCTTCAGCAGCTAACTCACTTCTGACCCTTTTAGAGGATAATAAATTTTTCAAGCATAGATCATGCTGCAATATTCTGTTACCATTTTCAAGTATTAGAGGGACCACATTTCTTTTTGCTGGGACTGTTTGGGCATTACTGCTACTCTCACATAGCCTCGATGCAAGTGCATTATGATGATAATCACAAACAGCAACTCCATCAGGCTCATTATTACTCACCAATCCACTAATTTCCTTTAAAGCAACAGCATATGGGTGGGTACCACTGAGAATTGTATCCTTCAGCTGTTTAATAAAAAGTAAACCAAAAAAGGGAAAAAAAACACACACAGAGAAGATATACGATGGATGATTATCAATCCCATCATCGTTAACAATCACAAAAAAGAAAAGATGAAACTCCCCATTCACCTCCTCTAAAGCACATTTAGGCAAGGTAGCTCTTTTATGCATTATAAAGGGGTAAAGATCGCATTTCAACAGCTCTGGTCTGGGATTCTTTAAATCTGACACTGATGACTGGCAAAAGGAGATACTTGAAAGTTAAAACTAAATGCCACAGCAACATGCTAGTTCATGCGTACTTAGAAGAGAATGATTGAACAAGAAAAACTGCTTTCTTTCAAGAGAACCAAATTAATTACTAATACATAACAAAATTAAACTTTACTACCTCCTGAAGTATGCATTGAAGTACATCTTCACAGCTTTGTGAAAGATCAAAACAAACTCTTGAAGCAGGAGTAACAACACCTGCAAGTCTAACAATAGGACCAAATAACTCCTCTAAACATCTCAGAGCAACCCTTTCCCTTGCATTTTTCCCTGGATCACCCGGTAAGTCTGGAGCCCTTTCAATCAAATCTGGGAGGAATGGAACAATTAAGCACTCTATATCTCATTTTGAAATGTTCAATTAGAAAAGAAAAAACACTCATTTCTCTATATAATATATATGGATTTGCCCATACCATTTAAAATATTAGTATCAACTTGCTTGAAGCCTGCCAGATATTCAATGATCCAAAGCCATGGAAGGCTTGAATCAAGAGGCAATATCTCATTCATTAAAATTACTTCTTTTGTTCTACAAAGTTCCTGCAAGAAACAGATTCATTGACATTGTCTACACTCTAATCCCATCAAGCTGCTTCAGTTCACTAGTGAGTGCTTAATCTATCTACCACTGCAATGCAAGTTGAACAAATTGAATATTCTGGAACGATAAAAGTAAAGAATAACACCAAAAACTATCCTCATAAATATTCACATCAGTGACAACTGGATAATCAATGTGCTCCTTACTACCAGCTTATTTATCCCATTATTTCAAGGAAAATGTCTACAAAGGAAGATATATCACCCACAAACTGAAAAGGCAAACACAAAGAAGAGCATAATGTTTTTAATTAACTCAGTGTATTGACCTCTAAATTATTCAAGTGCAAATTCACCTTAAATAACTACCCACTGAATCCTATTAACTTAAGCAGGTCACGATTCTGCAAGAAAAAACACCAACTGGAAAAAGAAAACGAAAATGTAGAATCTACAAACCAATCGAAGACATAATATAATCGAGACTTATGAAAATCATTAGTTCAGTTCGTCCATAACTTAACCTACCCAAATGCAAATACGAAGACCTGATAATGGAGGGGAGGGTAAGATGTTAGGGTTTCCGTAAAAAATCTGAGAACCCCTAAATTCCTTTTGGCTGCTGAGAGCAATTAGGAAGAGCAAAATGAAAATTTTAGAATCGTTTTAGGGGATTCGGAGGCTGAAATGTCCATCTAAAAGTTTAAAAATTTTCTGTCACTTGAATTTTCTCAGCAACCAAACGGACCAACAAAGGGTAGTCGATTTGGAAAAACTTTAATACCTTTGAATCTGTAGAAATTCGAAGCATCAAAAGCTCAACGACAAAGTGTGCGAATTTCTGCGACCGTGTTCATTTTGAAGAAGTTCTTTCCTCTTTCCCTGGGAAAGAGAACCCCTCTATTATGTGAAAATTACATGTAAGGACCGATACTTGCAGAAATATTACATAAACTTCCCTCAACTTTTAGGTTATGAATGGCTAGGAGTATATATATATATATATATATATTCAGAGGAAATGACTTTTTTTTTTTTATCAAATCATGCCGTATTTTTAGGATATGTTGACAAATGAATAATCATTTTTACCATCCAAACAGGATGCAAACCATATTTGACTTAACTGCAACTTTTTGTTTTTTATATTAAATTTATATAAAATAATTCGATAAAATTTAATAAATTAACTAAATTTATTAATTTCATAAGTTCATAGGAAAAGCTCTAAATATTACTCCATCCATTCCATAATAAAATTAATTTTAACTAAAAAATTTGTCTGAAATTAACTATTTATTATATATATATATATATTGGAACTACACAAATATCTTTTTTGACTATAACAGTAGTGTTTTCGTGTGATTTCCATGGCACCAATTTTTTTCTAAACAGAAACTGTGATGGATTTCCATGACCCAAATTGAATTGGATTGAGGTAGACAAACTTGCCATTGCCTATTTTCAAAAAAAAAAAAAGAAGAAAGACGTAAACAAATTTGATATTCTTTTATTCTATTCTCCTTCGTTAGGAAATGCTATGTTTGGTTTGAAGAAAAGTAAATACAATAAAAGATAAATTTTTTAACTAAGTAAATTATAATATTAACTAATGTTATAATTTAATTAGTTGAAAAAAATCTTAGCTTCTTTCTCCTTTTTTTATTTCTCTTAAATCAAACATATTATTATTATTATTACTATTATCTTATTTATCATGTGGGATATTTCCCCAGACCAGATATTTGTCGTCAAGTTTGAGTTGGCATTTCTCGGCAACAATTAAGAGCATTGCTGAAATGGAACCAACCAATTTTGTGGCCTAAACAATCAGATCTCTATAAGCATTTCAATGAGCAACAGGATATGTTCCAGATGATTCTAAACCAGTCAGCAAATGAGGAAGCCAATTCCATTTTCTCAAGAACCCAACTAACAACCATTTCCTGGAAAATCCTCTTGCATTGGTGTTGAATTTTCATGGTTCATACCTAATCTGTCTCAAGTATCGTTGACTGGGAATTCAACGTCAACATTCATAATCAATCAACAATGTGGGTCAAGGGAGAGGGGAGGAAACTTCTCAGAATCATGGCAAAAAGCATTTCAAAACTTAATTCAACTTTGGCCAAATGGGTTATTCCTCTAACTTCACAGAAAATTCACCAAATCAAAAAAATCATGGTCCCATGCTGGAACAGAATTTTTTTATGAACAAACTATACACGTTGGTATAGATTATTAGATTGGCAATGGCAGCAATACCATCCACAAATCTCCAACCCCGAACCTAACTGTACTAAGAGGCATGCCTACCTATAGGTCATGAGCTCCTCCTGTCCTTCTAAGTACATTCTTCCTAACTCCCTATTCAAGTTTTAATGTTAATGTGCTCTTCAATATTAACAGAGAAACTTATTGAGTCCAATCATGGTATAGATTTTAACCCTAGCAGCCTTCCATTCTTCTAACTAAATTTTAAAAGGATCTTTCATTCATTCAGGGCAATCTAATTCTCCTACAAAACAAAAACTCTCTTTGGCTAATTAGAAGAATGGAAGAAGCTAGGGTTAAAATTTCTTTCAACGAATGGCATGAGTTTTAACCCAATCAGCTTCCATTATATACCATACTTAAATTTTAGGAGGGTGCTTATGCACTTATGCTTAATTTATCTATGTCAACTCAATCATCCTCCCAAACAAAATTCCATCTGTTCATCACGAAATGCCTAACAAAACAAGCTTACAGTTTTACCAAGAAAAATGAAAAGCTAGCAGCTCAAATATACCAGGTGTTTCTTCTTTTAACATCGAACCATTACCAAGACTGAGGATTCAAACCTGAGATTTTCCAAAAACCTTATTCTATACTATTAAATATGGAACCAACGTTAGACATTGGTTAAAACAGTTAATATCAGTTACTTTTATAACCACGTGACTAGATCTACTCGTAAAATATTCTGCGCACACCAGGAAACCTAAACAAATTCCCTTTCCTTTTTAACCAATGAACAAATTCTATCTTCCAAAAGAGCAGAAAAACAACTAATTCAACCATCTTAAATTGATCATGTCTGAAACAGAGAACAACAGCTCATTTCATATGCAATTCAACAACCTCGTGTAACTATCAACAATGGAAACAGTCTATACGTGAAATTGAAACCTGTAATTCAAGCAAATTAACTTGCAAAATCCAAAATTGCTCAATCAAACAACACATAAACGATCTAAAATGATCCGTAACTTCAAAAAAGATAAAGAATTTATAAAAATTCTTGAGTTTCAAGAAGAACCCAGTTTGTGAATTATCAAAGGGGTTATTCCCAACAACAAATACATCCGTGTAAACCAAAATCTATCGTCTCCATCTCCACAGATTCAAATTCAACAACAATAACAACAATACAAATTTGGGGAAAAGTCAAAATCAAGAAAAATGAGAAATTTACAGAAATGAGGGAGACGGCAGTGACATCTACGTAGACAGCCGAAAGAGGGAGTGGAAGATCCGAGAGACAGCGAGGCGAATAGAGGGGTAGGCACGGAGAGTGTAACGGGCGGACTGGCGGAACAAATTCTCGAGGGTCTCGACGAACAAATTGAGGCTTCGGATCGGCGGTACGTAAAGGGTCAATGGCACCGCCGAGAACGCCACCGCGAAGAACAGTTGCAGCATTTGATCGGTTGGCTGTGGCGGGGCTTGACCTCTAAGAAATGGATTTTGGCGCTCTTTGTTATTGTTGTTCCTGACTCTTGACAGACACTAACAATAATAATACTGGATCTAATAAATGAGGACGATGGGGATGAGGATAAAGGGATTTTATCACAATGGAAAAATTGCAATCAACCCCTCAAGGTTTCGGTTTTTCATTTTTTAGGACTATATATTTACAATTCTTATTAGGTTGACTTTATTATTATTATTTTTTTGTTTCAACTATGACAATTTTGGGGAGGGGGACTGGGGGAGGGATTCAAACCCTGCTCAAGGGAAGGGGTAGGCATGCACTTCCAAATGGGCCAAAAGGGTTAGTGCATTGGGGTGACTAATTTGTTGGAAATTTAGATATTTTATAAATAAAAAAATATTACATAGATCTAATTGCATAATAAAAGTACAATTTAAATATTAAAATTATTAAATTAATAATAATAAAATAATATAAATACATTATTTCATAAAATATTTATATTATTTTATTATTATTAATTTAACAATCTTAGTACCTAAACTGTGCACTTCCATCTTAAAACATGAATTTCTTTTATAAGAATATATTTTTTTGGTTGAGCTATCATGTGATTGCAAATTTGCAACTTGAGGAGCTGATTTACAGCTTTAACCTATTGACATGCCAAAAAGAAATTTTGGAGGACGACCTTATTAAAACGACGACGTTTCAAACAAAACGAGGCCCTCTTCCGTTAGAATGTCGTGCAGCCCCCTTCTCCCGTAAACTGAAATACCCTTCTCGCCTCCCTTAGCCGGGGTTCATCGCCGCCGGGATCGTCGTCGCAGGAGGCTGCAGAAGTTCTCTTCTCCAATTGAAAAAACCGTTGCACGCCTCCTCCCCTCCCAACCAACCTAGAGTTTCCAGCGGGTAAGTGAGCTCCTTCCTTCTCTTTTGTGTTTTCTAATCCTCTGTTGATTTTAGTTCATCTTTCTGATGGATTTCTAATCCTTGTGTCTTTGATGGGTTTTTGGTTTGTTACTTCGCAGCATTTGAGTTTATTTGGTGGGTTTTTGGTTCTGATGGTTTTCTCAAGGCATAGACATCGCAGGATGTCCATTTATTAATGCCCTTAAAGCAATCAAAGATCATCCTTTTACTTGGTCCCAAATGGCTACCGAAACCCTAACCCTAGCTCCAGCTTTCATTCTCTTCCCAATCTTAAAACCCCCTCATAGACCCCTAATCTTCCACCAAGTTCTAGTCTTGATCATCACCTTCTTAGCTTATGCCTCTTTCCACGCTTCTCGGAAGCCCCCAAGCATCGTCAAGAGTGTGCTTGGACCCTCGGTTGGATCCAATTTATCAATGGCTGACTCAAATTTGGATCCGGCTCAATCAAACTTGAGCCCCAAAGATACTGGATGGGTGCCGTTTAACGGATCAGATGGTACCCACCGGCTTGGTGAGCTTGATCTTGCATTTCTGTCCTCCTATGCGATAGGGATGTATTTTGCGGGACATTTTGGTGATAGAATTGATTTGAGGTTGTTTCTTGTTTTTGGTATGATGGGTAGTGGTCTTCTGACAATAATTTTTGGGTTAGGATACTGGTTTGATGTACATTCTCTAGGTTATTTTATGGGTGTTCAAGTTGTTTGTGGCTTGTTTCAGTCTATAGGTTGGCCATGTGTAGTTGCGATTGTAGGGAATTGGTTTGGGAAAGATAAAAGAGGTCTGATCATGGGGGTGTGGAACTCTCATACATCTGTCGGGAATATTGTTGGATCAGTTATAGCTTCTGGAGTGTTGGAGATTGGGTGGGGTTGGTCATTTGTGGTGCCTGGGGTTTTGGTTATTGTGGTGGGGATTATTGTGTTTTCCTTTCTTGTTGTGCATCCTCAAGATTTGGGATTTGAACATCCTGGAAAGGAGATTGAGATGAATGTGGAAGAGGAAAATGCAGAGAATTTGGAAAAAGAAGAGTTAGAGCAAAAAGGGCTGCTAGAGAAGGAGAATCTGGATTCAGAGCCTCAAGCTGCCATTGGGTTCTTGGAGGCATGGAAGTTGCCTGGGGTGGCACCATTTTCATTCTGCCTGTTTTTCTCAAAGCTTGTGGCTTACACTTTTCTCTACTGGTTACCCTTCTATATAAGGCACACAGCTGTCGCTGGAGTCCATTTGTCACATAAAACTGCTGGAATCCTATCTACAATATTTGATGTTGGAGGAGTCTTTGGGGGGATATCAGCTGGTTTTGTTTCTGATATCATTGCAGCTCGTGCTGTGACTTCAATTGCATTTTTGTTACTCTCAATTCCAACTTTAATTTTGTACCGTGCATACGGAAGCATCTCTATGATCACCAACATTTCCTTGATGTTTCTTTCTGGGTTTCTAGTAAATGGCCCATACGCACTTATTACAACTGCTGTTGCTGCTGACCTTGGTACTCAGGACTTGATTAAAGGAAACTCTCGTGCGTTAGCTACGGTGACTGCTATAATAGATGGTACTGGCTCTGTTGGGGCAGCTATTGGCCCACTTTTGGCCGGGTATGTATCTACTAGGGGTTGGAACAGTGTATTTTTCATGCTTATTTTGGCTATATTCTTTGCTGGTCTCTTCTTGATTCGTGTTGCAAAAAGTGAGATTGAAGAGAAGCTGAATAAGGGGGAAGGGTTTTGGCGCAGTGTGACCACAAATTGATGTAGACTTTTTGATGTAAAAACTATATTTGCCTCATTTTGTATTCATAGAAGTGTGTTATTTAGGGGGCATGCACATATATGTGCATGACATAGCTTATTCTTTGTACACCTCAAATGGATTCTTGCCTATACGTACCAGAATTGATTCATAATAACAGAGTAAAATTCATTTGCTTGTCTAACATCTGATTTTAGCTACAAATTTTTTCCTTTGTTTCCAACTCTAAGAAGGTATATGGATACGGTAGGTTTCTCTGTTACTTGGCGCCATAAAGTTTGTTTTCTTAGATAAAAAGATTAGGGAGTCAACAAGCCGTAGATCATAATGCTTTATTTGCCTAGCAAGATTATTACGGTTATTTTTCTCGTGTGCCAAGGCCTCTTTGTCTCATGTTCAAGCAATTATGCCAGTTGTTGAAGGAAAAGCAAGGAGTATCATCTTCTTTTTTTTTTTTTGACAGAAAAAAATACAGTATTATGTTAGTATCTATTTGAGAAAAGTCGAGTCTGAGACTCCACCTGCAAATCAAAGTGCATTCCACCTGTTTTTTATTTCGAGGAAGCGTGATTGCCACTACGGTCACATGACGGAATGCAACAAGGAGTATCATCTTATTCTTTAAGTCAAAAAACAATCCATTAGCATCAGTTATTAAACTTTCTACAAGAAGTTTTCCGTAGTTAGGATTAGTTAAAACCCTAAAAATTGTTATTCCTTACTTCTTCCCTAATTTTAATGAGAATTGTCAATATTAAAGCTTAACGAATCCCACTTTAATTACTTAATGTTACTTTGTTTTTATAGTTTAATCAAGAAACATCATCTCTCGAAGAAAAAAAAAAAAAAATTCAAGGAATACTGACTCTCTTCAACAAACGAGCTCATAAGTCATAAGGTTAACTAACACTTGTTTAAGTGCACTTACCCCAATTAACATGGGCCAAGTGCTATTTTCTTAAAACTTAGAAGTAACATTTTTTTTATACATTTATCAGTGATCAACTATACCCAAAAAAAGGTATAATGCTCTCTGTCTCTGCCTCTATTTTCACATCTGACTCAAAATTTAACTATAAAATGTGCTCTTAAGAACACACCCATATGCTGGGCTAAATTTAAAAATACCCTTGAAAAAGTATATAATCCAAATCTGTCTGTTTCCCAGTTAACCCCCCACGTCCAAAACCCAAAACACTTCCGCCCTCTAATGCTCCACCAGCTCCTTCTAAACCCAGTTCCAAAACCACCGCCCATTCCACCGTCATACCGTCCACTAAGCCCTTTAAACCAATTCTCCTACGAAGAAACCTACAGGCACATCTGCAACCTCCTCCTCTCTCTAACCCACTCAAGGTCCCTTCCAAAGGGCCTCCAGCTTCACGCTCACATCCTCAAATCTGGTCTCCACACCATCCCTCTTGTTTGCCACCACCTCATCAACTTCTACTCCAAGACCCATCTCCCTCTCCTCTCCCGTCAGGTCTTTGACGAAACTCCAGAAAAGACCGTCACCACTTGGAGCTCTGTCATCTCATCTTTTGCCCAGAATGAGCTTCCCTGGCTTGCAATCGAGTTTTTCCGCAGAATGCTTGGTAGCAACTTCCGGCCCGATGATCATATATTCCCTAGTGCCACGAAGTCTTGTGCAATTTTGGGTCGACATGATGCGGGGCAATCGATACATTGCGTCGCTGTGAAAACTGGATATGATGGTGATGTTTTCGTGGGCAGTTCTTTGGTTGATATGTATGCGAAGTGCAGGGCAATTTGGGATGCAAGGAAGATGTTCAATGAAATGCCTGAGAGAAATGTGGTCTCTTGGAGTGGGATGATTTATGGGTATACTCAGTTGGGTGAAAATGAGGAAGCTTTAAGGTTGTTTAGACTAGCCTTATATGAAAATTTGGATGTGAATGATTTTACATTTTCGAGTGTTATACATGTTTGCAGTAATTCCACTCTTCTTGAGTTGGGGAAGCAGATACATGGCTTGTGTTTTAAGACAAGTTTTGATTCGTCGAGTTTTGTGGGGAGTTCTCTGATTTCCTTGTATTCTAAATGTGGAGTGATTGAAGGTGCCTACCGTATTTTTGATGAAGTGCTTGTTAAGAACCTTGGGTTGTGGAATGCAATGTTGATTGCCTGTGCTCAGCATACACACACTGAGAAAGCGTTTGATTTGTTTAAACAGATGGAAAGTGCAGGGGTGAAACCAAATTTTATTACCTTTTTGGGCATGCTTTATGCTTGTAGCCATGCAGGGCTTGTTGAGAAAGGTCAATATTACTTTGAGCTAATGAAGAAATATGGGATTGAGCCAGGTGATCAACATTATGCTTCTTTGGTGCATTTGCTGGCTCGTGCTGGAAAATTGCAGGATGCACTTTCAGTTATCAAGGAAATGCCTATAGAACCAACAGAATGCGTTTGGGGAGCTTTTCTAACTGGCTGTAGAATTCATGGGAACACTGAAATGGCAGCTTATGCTGCAGATAGGGTCTTTGAGCTCAGCCCTGTGGGCTCAGGATTGCATGTTTTGTTATCTAATGCTTATGCAGCTGTAGGGAGGTATGAAGATGCAGCCATGGCTAGGAAGATGCTTAGAGACCAAGGAGTTAAGAAGGAGACAGGCTTGAGCTGGGTTGAGGAGGGTAATAAGGTTCACACTTTTGCTGCAGGGGATACGCGCCATGCAAAAAGCAAGGAAATTTATCAGAAATTACAGGAACTAGGAGAGGAAATGGAGAGAGCTGGTTATACAGCAGACACAAGTTTTGTACTTAGACAAGTGGATGTTGAAGAAAAGAATCAAACAATCAGATATCATAGTGAAAGATTAGCAGTTGCATTTGGACTCATTACCTTTCCATCCGACAGGCCAATCAGGGTTATGAAGAACTTGCGTATCTGTGGTGATTGTCACACAGCAATCAAATTTATGTCCAAGTGCTCTGGAAGAGTGATTATTGTTAGGGATAACAACCGGTTCCATCACTTTGAGGACGGTAAATGCTCCTGCGGTGACTATTGGTGATAAACATCTTCATTGGTTCAATTTTCCTGTTGGCTTTTTGCTGTCTGATTTGGACTAAGTTGTTGAACTTTGGCAATGAATTGTGGACAGAAGGAATCTTGGAGCTTTTCTAACTTGTACAATTGCTGATTTTGTTCTCCTTTTCATTATTCAATTTCTTGTAATAATACATCTTCTGTTAAATGTTTTTTCTTTTCTGTTCTTCATTCTTATTGAAGCACTCGCAAAAAGTTTCCAGCTTCCATATCAGAAACCTCTGTGGTTCTGCTTGGACATGTGAGAAAGATCAAAGATCAATAATTTGAACTTGTATGACGAATTCTTCCTGCACCCAGATGACGGGTCTCGCAAAATTTTCAAACAAAAATTAATATTTGCAAAGGGAAATGGGATCTTTCCGCCAATGCACAAATTAGAGATACATAGAAAGAAGCAAGTATATTTCTGAACCTGTAGAGGCCAATGCATGTGATGGTCGAGTAATCAAGGAAACAGGGGTCCTGGGAACAATACTGGAACAAAGGGGACACAATTCATGAGATGGAGACCCACGAGAGGAAATGGGGCAGATGTCTATTTCCGCGTCCCTCCTTCTGGAGGAAATGGAGCAGGTCTCCGGTGGGGTCTGGTCTTTGGCATACGTCTCCGACGGTTGGTACACACCATTCAAGTTCCTCGAATTGTAAAATCTGACGCATCTTCTAGCGGACCCCAATCCTATTGCCTCCATGATTGTTGACTTTGACTGTCTTATTCTGGTGGTGGTCTGTTTTTGGCTTGCTTGCATATTGTCGTACTTTAATGAACTGCTTTATATTATATAATATAATTCTCTTGGACATTGGGTTGTAAAGAACTGAGGGAGGCTTATTTCTTGCACTATCTGGGGTAGAAAATTTTCAAATGGCTTCTTGTCTAAATGGAATTTCTATCCATCACCTGTGTCAGCAAAATTGCTTCCCTCAGATTTCTGAAAGAGGATAGCCATCTTGATTCCTGCAGATTCTTTCTCTGTGTCTGGTTGTCATTGACAGCTTCCTCGTATTGCCATTCTTTGGAGGCAGAAGTTTCCAAATTGAGGGATTTCTTTTTGTCACATGGCGAAGATGAATGGTGATTCTGACAAGTTCAAAGGCTGTCTGTTTCATTTCAAGGAAGTTTTAGATTTACTTTAGGGCAATTTAGGATTGAACAAATCAGCTGCACCTTCGAAGCCTGTTTCTATTCATGGCTGCAGATACTGGTTTCTGTCTGTGGAAGAATATTGGGAAGATACCCCTCTTGGTGTTCTTCAAGGACACAAGGTACTCATTGCAATCAGAGTTTAGGCCTGTTATTTCTACTAGTCAAAATGTTTTAGCTTGCTGTTAATTGTCTCCAGTCAACTATCTTGATTTCCATTTAACCTAATTTGAACACTTCTTCAGATAAAACTAACCCAATTTTCCATTTCCCCCCCTCCTTTTTCTCTGCCATCTTTGGTAATAATTGATAATATCCAATTTATTCCTTTTTATTTTATTATGAGAAATTGATTATTGTTTGCTAATCCAAAATTCTGATATAATGTTCTTTAATGCTATGTCCAGGAATGTTTTCAAGAAGGATGAACTGGGCTTGGAAATAATACAGATTGCAGTTCCAGCCACACTTGCATTGGCAGCAGATCCTGTTGCATCTCTGATAGACACAGCATTCATAGGACGAATAGGTTGTTGATTATTTTTTGGGTGACTATGTGTGCATTATAACATATTATCTCTGCTTTTTTGGCAAATTGGCAAAGACCAAATTACCTTTATATCTATTGATTCTACATATCCTAGCAAAGTGATATAGGTTTTCCATGTCCTACCCAAAACTGGTTTCTACTATCTTGTTATATTTTGATTAGAGTCAGATATAGTGAAGATTATACAAGGTTGTAGAAATCACTTCTCGTCTACTAATCGGTTTATACTTTATTCTACATGGATAATTTCAGAGTTTCTCATCATTAAGTAATCTATTCATTCATGGTCACTCATTAAGCTGATATTGGATAAGTTCTCATATCTTTCTTTGGTTTTTGCTTCATGTGCTTACAGGTCCTGTGGAGCTTGCTGCAGTAGGAGTTTCAATTGCTATATTTAATCAAGTATCAAGGATCACCATGTTCCCTCTTGTCAGTGTTACTACTTCTTTTGTTGCTGAGGAAGATGCTACCAGTAGTTCATGTACTGAAGCAGAGGAAATTGAGGAAATTGAAATGGGTTGTGCTTCTGACAGTGAAATGGAAAAGCTGATAACTCAAGTTGGTATGCTTTCCCTATCCTTACTTGCTTTCGTTCAAGGGGCATTATCACGATGCCACTAGATTGCATTTTTAGATAAGGTCCCTACTGTTTTAGGTTCTTTTTGTCAGATTTGGTGTGTTTTGGCTTCTGTGCTATTCCAGTAACCAGCTTCCTTCCTTTTGTATCATCTGTAGGCTTCAGTGACACAAGAAAGGCCAAAATGGAGCAAAAGAGAAGACATATTCCATCTGCATCTTCAGCTCTATTTATCGGTAGCATTCTTGGGATAATCCAAACTTTGTTCCTCATTTTCACGGCAAAACCTCTGTTAGGCTACATGGGTGTAAATTCTGTAAGTGTTTCCTATTCTCTTCTCTAGTAACTAAAGTTTCAATATTCTTTCTTACACTTATTTTTTCCCTTATCTACATCAAACAATCCTAGCCGCATTCATACAACATGGTTCTACCTTGATAGAAATGTCTAGATAGTTATATTTTTAAAGCTGATACAATATAGTGTCTGTAAAATTGGTAGCTAGTTTCTTATGGCTTAGACTTATTTGAACCATCTCAACAACCCTCTATCATTTTTCATATTAATAAATTGTGAATACAGTCCAAATTATTAAAGTCCAAGTTTCCTTTGGGTCTTAACTCTAATATGACCCGAAGACTCATTGGCCCATGCTACTCTAGAAAGAATCCCTATTGTTGAAAAGATAAATCCAAGCCTAATAACTCAATAAATCCAATGAGTCAATTGTTGAGTCAGTTGATATCTGTAATAACGGCAGTGGTAATTTTATTTCTGCAGGAATCTCCAATGCTAAAACCAGCAGAGAGATACTTGACATTAAGGTCATTTGGTGCTCCAGCTATTCTTCTCTCTTTGGCCATGCAGGGGATCTTTCGAGGATTTAAGGATACAAAAACTCCTTTATATGCTACCAGTAAGCTGTGCTTCCTTTCAAGTTTTGGTTTATTCATGTTAATTTCTAAGAGTATGGTCGCATATTAGAATTATGCAAAGAAAGCAGCTTAATTGGAGCTTGGCATTTAGAATTGATTTATCTACTACAGAATTTGAAATCGGTTTTATATTTTGTTTGATGTTATCATTTCCATTTTTTCACTATCATATGCAGAAATAACTATGCGGAAAATGGATGGTTATTTTGTCTTGAACTGTTAAGATAATCACCTCATAATTGATGGAAAACATTTTACTTATTGTCAGGGAATAAACTATGAAAGTGAAATTTTAGTTTATGATGTCATTGGCATCTTTAATCCTTCTTTCCTCAAATCTCAAATGGAAATGATAAACTAGAATCTTTTCCTAAATGTTAACTTCATTTGTTTCCTCTTTTGCTTTGACACAACAGAAGTGCAAGGCAAAAGAAGGGCGTGTGAAGAATCATGTATTTGTTGGATGATTTTGAACTTCAGCTTATTAGTTTCTGACATCTAGATTTTGCACCTTGGGAACCTGCTTGAATAGAACTATAAAAGTTCATAGCTAAATTTCTGAACTTCACTGGCCTTTGGTTCAAATACAAAGGATAAGAGAGATAATTTACGCTTCACAATCCCCCCCTCCCAACCTCTCCCTCACTGTTTTTCTGATAGCATCATTGCCTTGGCATCTACAAATTGCTTTGTGTGTGATCCTGTTGTTAGAAATTCAGCAAAGTACTTCTTGATATTTGTTTTCATTTCTCCTGAAAAGAATTAAGTAGTTCTTTTGATGTTTTCTTCTATCCTACCACTTTAATGTGTTGGTCAACCTCAATCTCATTCCACCTTCTAATGTCAATGCAGTGGTGGGAGATGCAGCAAATGTTGTTTTGGATCCAATATTCATTTTCACACTCCATCTGGGTGTCAATGGTGCAGCCATTGCTCACGTCATTTCTCAGTAAGTCTCAATTTTTATTGGTAAAGTTTCATTTTCATGGTTCTGATTTCCGTAAGTCTCTCTACTTGCTTTATCAGACACCTTAACTCTTATGATCAGACACCTTACAGCTAATGATTTGTTGTCTGTTTGGTTTAGGTACATAATTGCCTTCATTCTCTTTTGGAGGTTAAGTGCTCAAGTGGATTTATTACCTCCAAGTTTTAAAGATGTCCAATATCGGCGGTTCCTTGAAAATGGTGAGGACTTTTAACTTATCATATGGTACTCTATGGACTGTACCACCACAAGTAATGACAATAATGATAACTGTCCTCTCATAAACATTTTATTGGTTTAGTGAGGCATATATTGTACTAAAGATGTGTTGGTGTGTGTGTGTGTGTGCTCTCCAATTTTCATGACAAACGATTTTACTTTATTTGCGGGAAGAAAGAAGATAGAGCACTGATGATTGTAATTTCCGTGCCCTTCAAATCAGGATTGCTGCTATTGGTTAAGGTAATAGCTGCAACAATCTGTGTGACTGTTGCAGCATCACTGGCTGCAAGGCAGGGATCAACATCAATGGCTGCCTTTCAGGTTTGCTTGCAGATTTGGCTTGCAACATCTTTGCTTGCTGATGGATTGGCCATTGCTGGACAAGTAAGATTTCTTATTTAAGCTCCAATTTTGTCAGTAAGAACTTCACAGCAGTTGGGATAACTGCAATTACTTCTAAAATGTCTTTCCACCTTTTTCAGGCAATCCTTGCAAGCTCATTTGCAAAGAAGGATTACGAGAAAGTCTTAGCCACGGCCTCACGGGTTTTACAGGTTCTAATCCTTTTAGACGATAGCATTATTCTCTTCCCTTTAATGGTGTTCTGATTGCTTAATGTTCCAAATGCAGTCTGCCTTGGTTCTGGGGCTTGTTCTTTCAATCATCCTTTCAGCTGTATTACCATTTTCCTCCGGATTATTTACAAAGGACATTAGCGTGTTGCAACTGATTAGCCTTGGCATTCCGGTAACTGTCTCTACCTTTCTCAAAATTACAACAGAGGTTTTTCATCTTTCCCATTGAATACTAGAACATTTTCAGAGTTGAGATTTTCCTTTTTGTCGGTTTTAGTTTGTTGCAGCAACTCAACCACTTAATGCTTTGGCCTTTGTTTTTGATGGAGTCAATTATGGAGCATCCGATTTTGCATACTCTGCCTTCTCTATGGTAAAGATGTTTCCATTGCTTCCTAACCACGCAAGTTTTTAAAGTCTGATATCACACCCTTCTGCATTTGAACATTCCATCCCATTCTCATTAACAGTTTCTATATTCTTCTGTATCTTTCTTTAACCTTACCCTCAGGTTATGGTGGCAATTGTAAGCATTATTTGCTTGTTCATACTATCCTCCAGCCACAGTTATATCGGCATCTGGATTGCTTTATGTATCTACATGACCTTGCGAATATTTGCCGGTCTTTTTAGGTAACATCTCTTAATGAAAGATTAGTGTTTCTTTTCCTTCACTCTTTTGAAGGGATAGTGTAACATAACCTAACAATGCCCTACACTAAGGCGTTTCCCAGATTAACATGGCAAACTACTCTATCTGTATTTCAGGATAGGTACCGGAACAGGGCCTTGGCGCTTTCTTAGAAGCTGATTGTTGTGTACATATTCCCAGTGATGCAATTTTAATTTTATGGTCTTGCAATGCTGTTCCATACAATTCTCCTGGAGGAAAACGGAAGATCAAATGTATTGGAATGGTTCCTTCCATTCAGCATTAGCATTGTCTCCAAAAACAGATATATGGTACAGGCATCCCAATTTCTTCTTTTTATGTCAGTAATCTGCTCTTGTAACAGATGTTTCAGGATTCTCAACCTTTGAACATGAAAAATACGGAAATTCACCCTGTAATATTAGATTCATTTCAATGGACATGTTGTTCGTAAACAGGATAATTGACTACCTTGTTATAGTGCCTTATCAATCTTGAAAATGTGTTGTATGAATCTTCTCCCAATTTTAATGTTGTTTGAGGTCCACAAATCATCACTACAATATTTCTCGAAGCATAGTTTGATGTGTTAAAAGATGTTGGATCATGTTGAAACTTCTATAAAAGTGTTATTTGAGTAAAGTTTTTATATTTTTTAAAGAACAAGTGAAAACACATTTTAAAAAATTATATATAAGTCAGCAACAACTTATACAGTATATAAAGTTTTTTTTTGGAAAATTTGATCAAACATACACTGAAAAGGAGTTTTAAAAATAAGGATAATTATTTTGTTTTCAATTTATTAACAAAAATGTTTCACATCAACTGATTTATTTATTTCATTTGAATTTATTTTCATTGGTCAGAGCCTGAGAGGAGAATAGAATCAAAGATGGTTAAAAAGGCAATGCATAAAATACATAGGATGACACATACTTACATCTTTATAAAACCCTAAGTTATATTTTATATATTTGATTTAAGATGGGATATCTTTGTCATGAAAACAGGGGGATGTCACATTCACCAATTCCTTAAAATAGTTGTCCATTTATAGATAATTATTTTGTTCACAAAACCTAATCTCTGAATCTCTTAAAGGATCTCTTCATCTTTTGTTTTCATTGCACCAACTTCCTTTTTAACAACCTAAGGATGTATTTTGTTTAATTGATGTTATTAATTTAAAGTCCTTTTTCTAAGCAACTGATTTTAAACTAATATTTATTGTTTTATTAATTATCAATTAATAATTATAAATAAAACCAAATAGAATCTAAATCAAAAGGTCATAATTACATTGGAGATCCTATATACAACATTACCCTTCTTTTCCTAACATAACATGAACAATTATATTAACCACAATAAAGAGAAACTTATGTTGATGCACAAACTTTTGAAATTCATGATGTGAATATGAGAGATAAAACAACCTACCACATGCATGATAACAAAACCACATTGAGTGGTTTAAGCAAAAAAATAAAAATAACAATAATGTCTCAATCAACTTTCAACTAATGAAATTAATATTTTTAGGGAAATTTATGATATAGCCTAAACTAGCAACCTCTTCCAACATCATTATATAAACCCAAACCCCCCACAATGCCCACCAAACTCAACTACCATTCCCTCACCTCCCAAAAGATAACAACATTTTTAACATTTATGATCATTTCAAGAACCCTAGATGGGATTTTGAATTCAAATTAAAATTTTTATATTCCCCCCATATAAATTGAAAAAAGAAAAAAAATAATACCAACTTGTTTTTGTTTAGTTTGATTGGGTGGGAGAACAAAAGAGAGAAAAATATGGAGAGAATATGAGAAGGTGGCATCATCTTTCCATAATTCTACACTTTTCTGATGGAAAGCAAACAAATTCATCATCCAACTTTCTTCATGATGGATTTTATTTTCCTGATGGTCCATATCTATCCTCTTTAACAACCACAAAAGGGCATGACCATCGCTGCACACATAAATTACCAAATTTTAAGAGTACTTTGCCCACTTTTGTTATCCTTTCCCCTTTTGCTGCATTTTTCTTCTTTTTAAAATTTACCCCATCAAACTATGGCACCGAAAGGAAAGAAAAATTCTACCTAACTTCACCTTTACACGCTCGTTAACAATCCCAACAAAGCTAAAAGATCTCGATGAATTTCTTATGATCTTTCAACAGGTAGATCTAAGGAGAGTACCTGAAAAGAATTGAAGCTTGTAATCTACATGACTATAATATATGATGGCAGTTTGCAAGGTAGAATTGGGAAGGAGACACCAGCTGACGTTCATGTGGGAACAGAAAGAAACTTGCATCAAGATGAAGAATAATGTTATTACCATAAAGTAGCATCTCCTGAGGGAGAATCCAGAGTCCTAAACAATAAAAATAGTGACCCAAAGCATCTGATCTTTCTCATCAAGATTGAAGAATCATTAGGAATGCTTTTTTATTCCCACATCCACATTCCATAATCCCCTAATCCCACCATCACATGTTCCCAACTTCCCATCCATCCCATTCCAGCAATTCCAATGAGATGGAAGGAGAGACTCCAGACAATAATATTAAAGCGACAAAGAAAACACTGCCATAGTCCCCACAGGCCTAAGGTTCAGATGTTGTATGTCTCAACATTAGATATACTAAAAAAGGAAGACACAACTTGATGTCACCAAAGAAATAAATAGTTACGTAACAATGAAGGTATTAGAATAGCAGTAGCAATAAACTATAGTTGAATGTTACATCCACATCGGAGGATCATAATTTCTCCACCCTGGTCAGAATTATTGACTCCAAACTAAATTAGAAGAAACAAAATTTCCTTGCTTATCCCCAAAATATGGACCATTTTCCGGGAAGCAATCCAACCCCTTGAACTGACAACTTCTTGATCCACCCTCAGATGATCTTTTATCAAAGGTGACAATAAATATAACTAGAAAGAGGGTAAGGGAAAGATAGGATTTTGATTTCATTGATATTGACCAAAGTCGGTCATAGAACAGCAAAAAAAATCAAATGACAATATAATAATCTAATTTTGAAATATAAAGACCTAGACTGGGTGTAATTTGTTTAAACATAATCCAGGGGTTTACTCAACTTTTTTTTTTTTTTTTTTTTGTAATAATAAATGGTGAAAATGAATTTCCCTTGGCAACTGACTTCCCCAATTGCCTTCTTCACCTTGTGCACATTCATAACCAACAAAATCCCAAAAACTTGAAAAAAAATTATATGTTATTTACCAAAACCTTTCTGTTCTACCTCAGGGCTCAGTGAAACTGATTTCAGTTTTGCTGGGCCACAAGCTGATCAAGCTGGATTTGCTCGAGCCATGCTCCCAACACAGCATGATCTACTGAATCAATATCTATCTGAGAGTTCATATTCAAACTCTCACCTGCAGAACCACCGGTTGAAACGCCTTGGATTGGTGCTGCCAGCTTTTCTCTGATGTCAGTTGGAGATTCCTTAACAAGAGATTGAACCCAGGATAGATCAGGCTCCTCTCCATTGCCAAGCTCAAATGATGATGACCTGCGTAGTGTGCCTAACTCATCTGCATTGACAGCCCAGTCTGGCTTCCCATTAGAAGATCCCCACTTTGACCAAGAATTTACCGGGGAGCCAACAACAACATTGGAGCCAGAGCCAAGTTCCCGAGAGCTCAGGCTACGAAATTGTTGTTGCTTCTCACGTTGAGCTAACATGGACACCCGAGAGCTCATTGGTGATATAGGTTCCACATTTCGGGGGGACATCCTACCAGATGATGGCACCCCAAGAGAGGCCTGCAACAAAGAGTTTTCAATATTTTTTGGAGAAAAATTTGTATTTATCGGTGACAACATGCTCTGCTGCTGCTGAAACTGACTGAGAACAGCAGATTTGTGGGTTGGGGAGTAAACAGCTGAAGCTAATGCTTGATCAGAGAATCGAGGAGAAGAACTCTCAGAAGAGAAGAGGTCATCAAGATTTGATGGGGTCAGGGTCTTCATTCGACCAGATCTGTTCAAAGAATTAGAACTAAGAGAAGGCTGATTGAGGCTAGAAAACTCATTCAGTAGCTGCTGTTGCTGCACATCAAAATCTGACAACAAATTGTAGTCTTCTACCGGAATGTCTCTTGCATTAAGAGAGGATCTCAGGCGACTAGACTGAAGACTGCTCCCAGGAAGATGCAAAGCAGGTACATTAGGTTGTGGCCAGCCCATATTAGAGTGCGACATGCCATTAGCAGAAGGAGACATGGGAGGTGTGAATGGTGATGGGGACATAACTGATACAGATGAAGGTGATCCAGGTAAAAGACTGAGTGCTGCAGCAAAATCCATAGCAGAAGCACCAGAGGTACTTGAACGAGGAGATGGAACTGCAGAACCAGTAGAAACATATAGAGGCCGCAACTCCTCAGCAGTGTGGGCAAAGAAGCAGACTCTTCTTGCACAACTAGTACCATCTTTACATAGCCGGGTTCGATACTGAGCAGGGTGTAGCCAGCATTCAAAAACACCATGCGCATATTCACACATATCACCACGTCTACACGCCCCTTTGCGAAAATCAGGGCATGGAACACAACTATAATGGTACTTCCTGGGATCCCTTCTTCGAGCATTTTCACCTGGATGAACAAATGGACACTCTGTCCAATCATGGGAGTAAGCACGCGAACAAGGCCTTACCTTGAACGAATACATCCGGAACTCATCAGTTGAGTAGATGCTATTCTTGATGTCTGGAAGAGATGGATCAACAGGGTATTCTTTCTTCTCTGATCCAGAGGGAACTGAGGCACCATTTAACCTTGACTTTAGAGGGGAACCTGAAGCAGATGATGGGGATCCATTCTCCCGAGGTGAAAGAGGTGGAGAGTTTGAATTTACAGTGGCTGTCAAAACCCTTAGATTGCGCTCCAGAATGGAACTCTCAGTTTCAAGAAGCTCTTCAAGTGTTAATTTCACAGCTCCAAGCTTTAGAGGAACGACAATAACATCAACAGGACGATAACCATTCGCATCCACCAAGTTCGGATCAGCACCTGCTGCTAGAAGCAGTTTCACAACATCCACAGCATTCTCAGCCCCACCAGAAGCAGCACAATGAAGGGCGGTGCTTTTGTCGTGGCCACAGGAGCAGTTGACATCAGCATCCGATGATGAAAGAATAAGTTTGATAACATCAAGACTGCCATATGTGGCAGCAACCATCAAAGGGGTCCTCTCCTCGTTGACCATCTGTTTCGAGCCCTTCTGCCGGCCATACCACAGTCCCACCTCATCCACACAGGAAGGATCACGCTCAACAGATCGCTTAAAGCCCTCAACATCATTATTGGCAGCGAGTTCAAGCAAGCTTGCAAAAGTATCTTCAGTCTCTATAGTCAAGTGATTCATATTCATACTGAGATGTCTACTATCTTCAAAAGAAATAAAAGATTGTGTTGAAGGCAGTGTTGACTTTAACCACTCAGATCCACAGCACATGCTTTCACATGCTATGAATCCAACTGAGATTCGGAATGGTTCCCATTAAAATTAACCTGTGGATAAACATAACTTCAGATGAGGAAAAACCAATTGCACAATATTAAATAAGATACATCAGGATGATGAGAAAAGGACAACACATGGCAAAATAAAATACTTCCATCTAGAAAACACCCGACTCATAAGAAAGCCAACAAAACAACCAGATCGGAGTTAAATAAGGATATCCAGTTTAAAACTAAGAGAGAAATAGTTCGAGGCAGTATCAAATATGAACAACAAAACCCACTTTGTAATAAAGGATTGAAGCAATTAATAGATGTTCCACACCAAGCTATAGATCACCAGACAAAATAAAAAATAAAAATAAAAAGAAAAAAGAAAAAAAGGCAGACTCAAGGAATTCTTTTTCTTAACTTTCAGAAAGTTTCCTAAGAAACAAACAGGGTTAGTACTTATCACCAAACGAACAAAGGAAAATGGGAAGAAATTGAAAATAATGATACAAACCCAAGAAGACTCAAAGAACAAAACAAAATATTTTCCTTTAATTTTTCTTCAGTTTTCCTGGAAACCAAACACCCATTAAGCAAAATACAAACAATCAGAAACTAAAAAATAGCAGAATCGACAGGCAGATACACACACTCGTTAGATACAAAGTTAAATAGAAAATCTAACACTCACTATATCAGGAATACAGGATCATAATTGACAAACCTTTCAACGGTCATTCCTACCCAAAGAAACCCAAAAACAGAAACTAAGAAACAGAAAACAGCAAAAAGATCTGCTAAAGAACAACAGAAATTTTTTTTAGCTAAAACAGAAAAATCAAAAGCAACCGAAACACCAACCCATGAACAAAAATCTCCCACATGTGATCACTCACATATCCTATTAAAAAACCAAAAAGAAAGACAACAGATTTGGGGAAACAGCATGATCAACAGAATAGCCTCAACAAAAGAAGGTTCTTCCATTTTTCTTCTTCTTGAATCAAAACTAAACCAAAATCAAAACTTTTAATCAAATTCAAAACAAAAACTTACCAGTCTGAAAACCCATATCAGTAGAACAAAGGATAGATGGAAAAAAACAGAGCTCTCCACAGATCTACAGAGAAAAGCTAGCCTTGATCAGTGAAGAAAATCAAAGAAATTTCCTGTTTTTTCTTCTGGGTTTTTCTGGATTACACTAAACTTGAAGAGGGTTGTGAGGAGGAGAGCTCCTTCTTCTTCCATCTCCAATACCTATGTCACTGCTTTTACTTTCCTGAGAAAATGCTAAAAAAATAAAAATAAAAACAGAGAGTTTCCCTTTTTTTTTTTTTTTAAGGTTTTGAAAAAATCGCTTATCCAATAGAAGCAAAGAAGGTGTTAATCGAGTACGGCCCGGATATATAAGACAACCAATCAGAACACGCCACGTCATAGACATGAGAAAATTAACCTGAATTTTGGTTAATCGAGGGAGAAAAATGTCAATTTCTGTTTCAGAGATTTCCCCCTGATTATGACGTGGGAAGATGTGATTGGTGGACGGGTATAATCAGGATAATTCAGACAGACAACCTAAATTGTTGTGTAATAATTTCAACTTTTGTCTTTTGGGAGGCCCCAATTCCATAGAAATTCAACCTAAATTCACCTCACATGAGTGTTAAATTTAGAGGCGAGAAATACGAACGAACACTCTCATTCAAAATATTCTCAATTCTCAATATGATTAAAGTATATATAATATAAATTTTTATCTTAAAAAATATAATATAAATTTAATAAA